GGGGGGAGGAGGAGAAAGGAAGGGGGTGGGGGGGGGGGAGGTGGAGGGGGGCCAGAGTGAGCCGGCCATAGTGAGCGGTACTCGCCTCGCGCACCACCACATTCGTCGCAGGCCCTGACTCAGGAGCCGATGAGCGGCTGCCGCTCCTCTGCCGCGTAATCGAGCGTCGTCGGCGGGAAGGGGTCGTGCTTGTCGCCAGGGTAGCCGCAGCCGGTGTTAAGCGCGATCGGCGTGGCCGTGGGATAGTAGCGCGCGCTCGCCCAACGCTGCGCCCCGTCCGTGTCTGGAATCTTGCGCATCCAATTGAAGATCGAATACCAAGCCTGATATCGGGGGCGGGGGAAGTCCCGTGGAGAGGCGTGTGCAGGGCGGAGTCGAGCCGTGCCCGTCACCAGAGTAACACGGAGGCTGTGCATTCTCAGCATCTAAACTCGCACCGTTGTGGGCTGGAAGTAGTATGGGCTGCACTCCTTCGAGGGGACGAATCCACCGAGAAGCCGCACCCGTAGGTCATAGCGAGAGTCGCGTAGATGGGAGTGTCGTGGGGCATGTCGCATAGGACAAGCGCGGTGGCGCTCCCCGTCGACGCGGGCGCGTCCGACACCCTCATGCCGCTCTTGACGCAGCTCAAAGGGCACTCCTGTCCGCCCCTCCGGCACACGGCCTCGACCCACTCGGACTCCTGATTGGGCTTCATGAGAGTGTGAAGTCCGCTGAGCTGCGCCTGCGACCGCGCGCCGCCCGGCAGCTGCTCGCACTCCTCCGGCTCAAAGGCATACACCTGCTTGTGCTCGGGGTTCGCCCACCAGCCCTGGTCGAGGTACTTCGCCCACGTGCCGGCAACTTTGCAGTACAGAGCTTGCTGGCCGGCTTGCTTCTGCACCTGGTAGCAGAAGGTGACGTGTGGGAGCAACACGCACCCCTGTCGGACGATCCCTCGCCCAACAAACCTCGTTGCCGCCCCACGTCTGATAGAAATGGTTGGCCTTGTCCGGTGCGCCAACAGATTCTGCCGCTCCGAGCAGGTCATGTACAGTGGGGAGGCCCGCGACGACGCCCGCCACGCCGCCGACGCGTAAGCGGCCGAGCCAAGCATTGAGCCGCCGATGGGGATGATGTCTTTGCCTCCGGGCATTGCGCCGTACGCGTTGATCCCACCGGCGGTGGAAGTACAAGAGGGGAAGGCGGGCGCCCCACACCCGTTGCCGAACGAACCAGCGAGCGGAAAGCGAACGGAGACCCAGGGAGGGGTCGCGGGGCCGCCTGGAGTGGGGGTGAGGCGTGCGCGCCCGGGGTATGGACAGTGATGATTGGCATCGGGCTGCAAGAGCCCCCCCCCCCCCCCCCCCACACCCCGATCGGGCCGACGCGGCGCACACACCCTCTGCTGTCTCCTGCAGGTGGAGCGTGGAGGAAAGGCACAACTCAGAACGATGGGCCTGCCCATCCCGGAGTGGTTCGATCCCACACAAACCCGAGACGGTGACGGGAGGCGTACGGCGGTCTCAGGCCCAGTGAGGTAGTGCGCCAGTCTAACCCGGATCCTGCTGAATAAGTTAGTTCCTCTTGTAGCTCGATCGGTCACGCCGTCATCGCCGCCGACGTCTCCCAGCGAGATGATGGAGAGAGGGGACGACACTGCTCCTGCAGCGTGCACCTCGATCCTGTACCGTGTTTGTATTCCCGTACCATGCGGGATCGACCCTATCCAGTCTCAAGTGCTCAACACTAAGAAAAAACAATTTGGAATGAGGAGGAGGGACACACGGGCCGAAATTGCGCTGCATTCGGCCTTTTGGTTCGGGGCGGCCGTCGGGGTTGCATGACCGTCCTGGCGTTGCTGGCGCTGCTGTTGCAAGCCCTCGTCTTGCATCTCGTCTGGGGGCAGTGCGCAAGCGGCAACAAGGACCCGCATCTAAACTTTGCCCACGGGGGCAGGGCTGACTTTCGAGGGCGAGACAAGACATACTACTGCTTCTTTTCGGGGCCGAAGCTCAGCGTCAATGTCCTGATTGAGGACGCGACTTTTGTCATCAACGACGACAAGGGTTCGCTGACGGTCGACGGCACGTATATCACTCAGGTGCACATCAATGCGATCGTCGGCGGGGTGAAGCAGAAGCCGATGACGCTCTCGGTGAGCCGTGAGCCCACTGTGGCCCTAGCAATTAGTTGCAGCGACTGCGGCGGCAGTGGACAGCCCCATACGCAGAAGAGCAGTGCACGCAGTAGCGCAGGGCAGTACAAGTAGCGGCAGTAAAGACAGCAGCAGCCATTAGCAGCACAACAGCTGCAGCAGCATCAGCGCCGGCACCAACACCGACTGACAGGTGTGGGCGAGCGAGCTGAACGAGTTTAATACTGGACCCAACCTCGTCAACGGCACTTGTGGCGGGGGGGGCTTCTTCCTCGGCATAGGTGAGGGGCGCTCGTGCGAGGAGTTCTCCATGAAGGTCGGCTATTCCTCGGTCGTGTTCAGGGTGGACGGCTGGACTTTCAAGGTGCTGGGCAACTGGGTCTACGGCTCAATCTCGGGACCGACGCACCGCCTTGACCTCACAATCAGGGGCAATGGCGACGCGGCCTCGCGCTACCTGCCGCACGGTATGGTGGGGCAGTCCTTCGCGTCCCTCGCAGTACGGCATGGCAAGCGCGACTTCTACCCCCTCTCGGGGCGGATGCGCACAACGGCAATGGCGGAGGGAGCGATCGAGGGAGACGCCTCCATGTACGAGGTGGCGGGCCCTTTTGCGACCGACTTCCGCTTCTCTCGCTTCTCTGCTGCGCTGGTGGCGGTCCCGTCGGGCCTGCTCACCGACGGCGACGCCTCGGCCATCAGCGACGCCGCAGAGGGCCTTGGTGCCATCAGCGACGCCGAGGCGGCGTACGCGCCGCCCCCCCTGCGTCGCCTCGCAGAGATGGCGCCGCGCCGCCGCCGCCGCCGCCACCGCCGCCGCCGTAGCCGCCGCCGCCGCCGCCGCCGCCGTAGCCACCACCGCCGCCGTCGCCCGCTGGCATCGCCGCGATGGGGGCTTCAACACTGCGGGGCTGCGGTCGCGGTTCCGTTGCGATTGCACGTACGCCGCGGTTGTGGACGGTCCACGGAGGGTGGCTGCTGCTGCCGGTCCGCCATGAGGCAGACCCAACGAGATCGGTCCAGCTGTGAGTGCAAAAAACGAAAAAAATTCCCTCAACAGGTGACCAGTAACCATGTGAGAGAGGGGCGTCGCCCCTCCTCGCCCGCCCTTCCCCTCACACTCAGCTCCACACTCAGCGGCTCTAGCTCGACGTCAGTAGCTCTGCAGCCGCGGCTGGAACTTGGCCGCCCTCGGCACTGCCGCCCCCCGCCGCCTCGCCCGCCGCCTCGCCCGCCACCCCCGCGGGAGCGGAGCCGGGCAGGACGAGCCCGAGCGCGGCGCACTCCGCCGCGAAGCCGCCTGCGGGGGCGGTCTTCGAGCTGAAGACGAGGCCCCTCCAGCCGAGGCTCCGCGCGGCCTCCACGTTCGCAGGCTTGTCGTCGACAAAGAGCAGCTCGGCGGGCGCCACCCCCGGCTCGAGCCTGCGCAGCCGCTCGAAGAAGAGGGCGAAGATGGCGGGGTCGGGCTTGCCTGCTCACGGATGCACGCGTGAGCGGCCCGCGCGCGCGGGGGGGGCGGGGGGTGGGGGTGCTGTGCACTGGCGGGGGGCAACGGCGGGGGAGCGATGGCGGGGCGGGAGAGGGGGGGGAGGGGCGCGGGGCGTGCCGACGCCCACGGCCTGGCTCACGAGGAGCAAACTCGGGTGCGAGACGAGCGCGTGCAGCCCCGCGCCTACGGGGCGTGCGCACATGGGCAACCCCTGTCATGGGCGCGCCACAGAGGGGGCGAGACGCAGCGAGGCGCAGCCGCGCGCCCTCGGCGCAGTACCCAAACAGGCCGGGCGTCACCAGGTGGTTGGAGATGACGCCCACAACCATGCCGCGCTCCTCCTTGAGCCGCCGCGCCACGGCGGCGGTCTCGGCGTAGCAGCGGCGCAGCGCCGGAGCAAGGGCGGCCTCGCAAGCCGCCGCTCGCTCGGGTGTGCGCTCGGCCTCTGCGACGCCAGCCACCTGAGGGGGCATGCCCCGGACATGTGCATGTGCATGTGCATGCGCATGTTGTGGACGTGTGCCGGACGGGTGCAGCGTGGAGAGGGCGGAAGAGACAGAGTGCACCTCCATCGCGGTGTGCCAATAGCCAGCCTACAGTGTGGAGACGCCAGCCTCGGGGCGGGAGGCGGTCTCGTGCGGAGTCTTCAGAGCACCGCGTGAGCACGAGGGGACACGGGTACTGATTACAGCCGAGTACGGCCGAGTGCGGCGGAGTGCGTGTCCTCTCGAGCGCTACTTGGAGTACATGAATGCGTCGTCCGCCTCTAGGGCCAGCCTCATAGGGGGAGATCTGGGCAGATCTGGGGAGATCTGGGGAGATCTGCGGCAACCAGTCCAGCAGGGGCCCGTCTCTCCCCATCTCTCCCCATCTCTCCCCAGATCTCCTCTAGAGCCAGCCTCGTGCGGGCTGGCGCGCGAGCGCGCCCACGCAGCCTTGTGCCCGGCCCGCGCCATGGCCGGAGGCACGCCCATCGCCGCGGCCACGCTCTCGTTGCCCGCCTCGCAATCCGGGTTCGTGATGCCGCCGCAGTCCAGCACCAGCACCCGAGGAGGCTCCGCCGCTGCCGGCTCCTCCGCCGCTGCCGGCTCCTCCGCCGCTGCCGGCTCCTCCGCCGCTGCCGGCTCCTCCGCCGCTGCCGGCTCCTCCGCCGCTGCCGGCTCCTCCGCCGCTGCCGGCTCCTCCGCCGCTGCCGGCTCCTCCGCCGCTGCCGGCTCCTCCGCCGCTGCCGGCTCCTCCGCCGCTGCCGGCTCCTCCGCCGCTGCCGGACCGTGCGCGGTCGCCTCCTCTGCCGCCGCAGCGTCACCTGCCGTTGCTTTGGGCGCCTCCTCCGCTGCCGCAACCAGCGCCGCCGGCTCGTCCACCCCCCTCTCCCCCGCCCCCCCCTCCGCCGCCCCCCCCTCCTCCGCCGCCTCCGCCGCCTCTTCCGTACCCGCCACCTCCGTTGCCTCCGCCTCCGCCGCCTGCGACCCCGCCCCCACCGCAAACTCCTCCACCGCCGGCGGAACCGGCGGCGCCGGAAGCGCCGCTGCCGCCCCCCTCGGTGCAGGCTCCATCGCCGTCGCCACCGCCGCCGCTATCGCCTCCGCCATCGCCTCTTCCGCCGCCCGCACCTCTGCCTCTGAGGCCTCCCCCTCCTCTGCCTCCGCGTCCGCGCCGGCAGCCGCCGCAGCGTCCTCCTCCGCACCCGCCGCACTCCCCTCCTCCGCACCCGCGTCCGCCGCAACAGCCTGCGCTCCACGCGCGCGCGACTCCTCCCTCACCAGCTCTCCCTTGGCCCACCAGCCCGTCACGTGCTCGCCGCCCGCGCCTGTGGTGGCGTGGCGCGAGCTCGGCGAGCTCTCGGCTCCATCGCGGCTCGATCTCGGCTCCATCTCGGTAGATCGCGGCTAGACCCCGGCTAGACCTCGGCTAGACCTCGGCTAGACCTCGGCTAGACCTCGGCTGAATCTCGGCGACATCGCCTTTCATGCGCCCGGCCACACCTCCATCTCGGCTGTCTCTCGGCTGCATCTCGCACCCGAGAGGGTCCCCGCGCCGTGCCGCTCCCCCTCCAGCCACTCGCCTGTTCACAGCTCGAGGTGTGAAGAGACGCCGTTCACAGCCGTGCCGCTCCCCCCCTCTAGCCACTCGCCTGTTCACAGCTCGAGGTGTGAAGACACGCCGTTCACAGCCGTGCCGCTCCCCCCCTCTAGCCACTCGCCTGTTCACAGCTCGAGGTGTGAAGACACGCCGTTCACAGCCGTGCCGCTCCCCCCCTCCAGCCACTCGCCTGTTCACAGCTCGAGGTGTGAAGAGACGCCGTCGACGGAGCCGCGCGAGGCTGCTGCAGCGACGGATCTCGCGGGTGCACCGCTCGCTCGGTCACGCTTCTTGTCCGCACGCGCTCTCGCACAGTAGCCACCTCTTCGATCCTAGGTACCCGCCCGCTCCGCAACCGTCTCCCGCCCCTCTCCACGCTCTGGCCACACGACGTTGAACCCGCTCGTCCTTCGAGCAGGCATCTCGCCGTCGGCTGCTCGTGGAGGCTGGTCACGCTCGCGGCAGCAGCAGCCGCGCGGCGGGCGCCGTGCTGCCGTCGCCGCCGCGGCGCGGGACGCGCCGCCGTAACGAGGCGCCACAGCCCTCCACCTCCACCTTATCCAATCGGACATCTCACCACATACCACCTCCACGCCACCACACCCAGTAGTCTGTCACCAGCAGAGATTATTTAGTTGACGCCCGTCGCCTCTCTCCTCGCCGCCACTACACGCCACCGCCCACGCCGCCTCGCCGCCGCGCCGCTCCGCCCCGCGCCGCTCCTCCCGCCCTCCTCCCACCTCTCCCTCTCCCGCTCCCTCTGCTTCTGCCCTGTAACTCGGCTGTAATCACATAATCTCGGACCATCTCGGGTATATCTCGGTTAATCTCGGTCCCTAATGGCGGTATCCGGCCGATCTCGGCCGATCCCGGCCACTCCCGGCCACTCCCGGCCAAAGTATTCATTTTCTCATCTCGCGCGCCTCTCCCACACCCTCTCTGCACCCGCACACGCACGCGCAGTAAACTCGGACATATCTCGGAGAATCTCGCCGAGATTTGAGCTTGTCCCCGAGAGGGAGGCAGGAGCACCCGCCCACCGCCGCCTCAGATTAAATTAGGCTAGTTCCACCCCGGGAGTGGTGCCACGTCACCACCCACCTCACCCGCACCCTCTCTGCCTCTGCACCTGTATTCATCAAATATCTCATCACACACACCTCTTACCGTTGCCTCCGCCTCCGCCGCCTGCGACCCCGCCCCCACCGCAAACTCCTCCACCGCCGGCGGAACCGGCGGCGCCGGAAGCGCCGCTGCCGCCCCCCTCGGTGCAGGCTCCATCGCCGTCGCCACCGCCGCCGCTATCGCCTCCGCCATCGCCTCTTCCGCCGCCCGCACCTCTGCCTCTGAGGCCTCCCCCTCCTCTGCCTCCGCGTCCGCGCCGGCAGCCGCCGCAGCGTCCTCCTCCGCACCCGCCGCACTCCCCTCCTCCGCACCCGCGTCCGCCGCAACAGCCTGCGCTCCACGCGCGCGCGACTCCTCCCTCACCAGCTCCCCCTTGGCCCACCAGCCCGTCACGTGCTCGCCGCCCGCGCCTGTGGTGGCGTGGCGCGAGCTCGGCGAGCTCTCGGCTCCATCGCGGCTCGATCTCGGCTCCATCTCGGTAGATCGCGGCTAGACCCCGGCTAGACCTCGGCTAGACCTCGGCTAGACCTCGGCTAGACCTCGGCTGAATCTCGGCGACATCGCCTTTCATGCGCCCGGCCACACCTCCATCTCGGCTGTCTCTCGGCTGCATCTCGCACCCGAGAGGGTCCCCGCGCCGTGCCGCTCCCCCTCCAGCCACTCGCCTGTTCACAGCTCGAGGTGTGAAGAGACGCCGTTCACAGCCGTGCCGCTCCCCCCCTCTAGCCACTCGCCTGTTCACAGCTCGAGGTGTGAAGACACGCCGTTCACAGCCGTGCCGCTCCCCCCCTCTAGCCACTCGCCTGTTCACAGCTCGAGGTGTGAAGACACGCCGTTCACAGCCGTGCCGCTCCCCCCCTCCAGCCACTCGCCTGTTCACAGCTCGAGGTGTGAAGAGACGCCGTCGACGGAGCCGCGCGAGGCTGCTGCAGCGACGGATCTCGCGGGTGCACCGCTCGCTCGGTCACGCTTCTTGTCCGCACGCGCTCTCGCACAGTAGCCACCTCTTCGATCCTAGGTACCCGCCCGCTCCGCAACCGTCTCCCGCCCCTCTCCACGCTCTGGCCACACGACGTTGAACCCGCTCGTCCTTCGAGCAGGCATCTCGCCGTCGGCTGCTCGTGGAGGCTGGTCACGCTCGCGGCAGCAGCAGCCGCGCGGCGGGCGCCGTGCTGCCGTCGCCGCCGCGGCGCGGGACGCGCCGCCGTAACGAGGCGCCACAGCCCTCCACCTCCACCTTATCCAATC